CAAGCCTCATATAGAGTTTCATCGGCTTCTTGGGCAAAGTTCCGAATTGCACTCCGTAGCACGGCTGTTCTCTCTGCAGGATAGTACTTGTTATAAAAATTTAAAACAAGAGTTTCCCAGTCCGTTATACCAAGTGCGGTTCTATTTAAACCATTAAACCACAATTTAGCTTTTCCAGTTAAAGAGAAAGGAAAGTGAATCTCCCTTATTTGGTCTTGTGCGACCCTGGCTTGCCTGATGGTATTACAATATTGACAATAGTCTTCAATGTGAAGATTAGGGTCTTCACCCTTAGCTCCACTAAATTTCTTCCTCTCTATCATCGTTATAAATTGAGGTTTAATTTCAAATTGTACCCCATCAAGAGTCGGAGTAGGGGTGAGATGTGGAAAATCTGTAAGCTTTGGTTGTGTGTAATCACTAAGCTTCTTTGGAGCTGTCATCTCTGATTCTGGATCTGATGATACCTCTGAATCGCTAGAACCAGTTGAAGGGTCTCGGTGATTAGGATTATCAACAGAATCCGCCAGAATTTGCTTGTAGAAATTCTTCTATCTATGAAAGGATCGTTCGATCTCAGGATCGAATGGGATGTACCCTGATCTGGAACACCTGGGCATAAACAAAAAAAAACTAAAAGCAAATATGAGATTTTCCTCAAAGAACTAACGTTCTCTAAGACAAAAAGAAATAACCGAGACTACAAAAATAATCAGAAATAAAAATAAAACCGTTTCCCCGGCAACGGCGCCAAATTTTGACAGGGTAAAGTCGTATCCCCAAATCAAAAGTAATTCCTAAATCCTCTAACTAATGTAGATAGGGCAGTAGGGTCGGATCCACATAGAAACGAGTCTTTCTATTCCTAATTAACTAATATAATCTAGATTATGAAGTAACCAATGTATTATAATCAAAAGGAACTAAACTACAAAGATTAAGAATAAGGAGAAAATAATATATAAAAGGATCTAGGGCATAGGTTCACCAATAAATAATATTCCAGGGTAGAATATAATAATCATTCATCAATGCATACATTAATCAGATTATAAAGGGCTTTCGCTACGTATTACAATCACACAATTAATTTACCGGTATTAAATCTCATCTTTCGAATCTCGACTTAACCATTTATAAATTAACCAGTCTATTGAAACTAGACCTAAACATCAATTCTCATATGTCGAATCTCGAATCAATATTGTTAAACTCATGCATAAAAGATCTGCGCAAATCTAGTCATAGAGCATTAAATCAATCAATAGGAAATTAATCTAGCATTGACAATCAATAACAATAAATTACCCCTTCATATTATTTATAGATCCCCATAAACCCTAGAAAGAAAATTACTCACACATAATAAAAACTAAACTAATCAAAGCAATAAAATAAGACATGATCAAAGGAATAAAGTAAACAACTAAGATTAAGAGAAGAGAAATCATTACCAAATAAATCTGGAATTAAGAATAGATTAATAACAAAGGTATAAGAGTGAGAGAACTAATCTAAAAGCTAAATAGAGAGAGAAAATCTAAGAAAATAATTAAGAGAGTAAAGAAGAGAGAGTAAGAAGATCCTAAAATCGTTTTACGGAGAAGTATTTATACTCCGTACGAATCCTAAACTAAAACAAACTTAAACGTCGAATAATCAGCTCCTAAAAATAACACGCGCCCGATCGGGTGCGCCTTTTTCTCTCAAGTACGCTTCTCGCGCCCGGCCGGGCGCGTCTTCGGGCGCCAACCTTTGCTTCCCTCGCCCGGCCAGGCGCGCCTCCGAGCGCCAGCCTTTCTGGGAGGGCGGCTCTCTTGGGCCACTATTTGGACTACGATTGGGCTCCAATTCTTCGGGCAATCTGGGTTTCCTCTTTGGGTCTTGAATACTCGGTCCAAATGCCCTGGTATCACATATACCGAGCCCTTAATCACCGTAACTGTGGCTCTAACCGACCCTTGGCTATAAAAACTAGTCGTGCTTCTCCAGTGCTCGTAATTGCTCCATAATATCTCGGGAAAATGCTCCAAAAGTGCAAATCCCAGCTAAAGTCAACCAAATCTACAAAAACACTAGAAAACACCAATTAGTAATAAAAGTGGTTCTAAAGAGCCAAAAAACTAATAATTACGACCAAGGGATGAGGGTAAAATACTATATAAAATAGACAGTGCTAGATCGTTATCTAAGTTTGTTATGGGCCCTCTAGCTTACTCAGAACTCTTTGAGGTTTCGTTTTGCGGTTTATTCTCCTGATTCTATAATGGATCTAGCTTCTAGTTAGGTGGACAGGTGTTCTGCGGCTAGATTGTTCAGATATGATATTACGCTTGCGTCTCCTCCTGGGTTTTCTTTTGCTATGTATTTTGCTGTTCTTAGAGGGAATGTTATGGATGTTTGTACAGTTAGTCTTACTTTTGATGGGGCCTGGAATTCTGACAGTCATAATGCGGGTACTGGATGGGTATTCTTGGATGTGGCTTCTAATGTTCAACTCGGGGGTGGGGCGTAGGCTTGTAGCTCTAATTCTGCGTTCCTGTCTGAAATGATAGCTTGTCTGTTTGCTTTACGCCATGCCAGGCAGCGTGGATATTCCTTTTTACAGATTCTTACTGATTGTTCTTTGGTGGTGGATTCGCTTCAGTCTTTGGTTCCGAAGGATATTTCTGTCTGTTGGTTTCAACAAGAGCTTCTGGAAATTATTGAGGCTTTGGTTGTGTGTCGTGTTCAGAAGTTTCCAAGATCTAAGGTTGCTCAAGCTCATTGTTTGGCAGGGATGGCGCGTCGGTGTGATTTACTTTGTTTCCGTTTTTAGTATGTTTGTTGTTTGTTTATTAGTAAGTTATTTTGTCAAAAAAAAAGGGAATGTCATACTGCTTGATTTGTTTTTGTCTAGAAGCCAACACGACGACTATGAATGTACAAAACATAACAAAGGTAATTAGTCCTATAACCCAATATTCTATGTGTTTACAAATGAGTTATTGGCGTATATTTTCGCTAAAACTTTACTCCCTCCGTTTTTAAGTACTTGCTCAACTTTTCTTTTTCGGCCGTTTTTAAATACTTGCTCCATTTCCTTTTATGGAAAACTTTTATAATATTTAATTCATTTCTCACACTTAGTGGACCCAACATAATACTCTCTCTCCTCCTATTCTTCCACTACTTTTGCTTTTTATAATTTTTTATTTTCTCAACTACCCCACTACCTTCATATTTTATTACTTTTTCTAATTACTCCTAAAACTCCGCGCATAAAGAAATGGAGCAAGTATTTAAAAACGGAGGGAGTAATTAATAAACACTTATTTAAATCTGCCTCACAAATAAGCGTTTGTGATTAATATGCTCCGACCTGAGGAGTATATACATTGATGTTGAATATTAGAGTGCTATAATCTATTATTATCGAGTATAACTTATAGAGTTGTCGATTCCTAACTCGATCCGAACATAACAAGAATTTATTGAGAGAGAAACTAAACCTGATGTGGCCCAAACACCCTAAATTCAACCCGTTTTGACCCATTTATTATTTTTTATAATGATATTATGTTCTTACATTACTTGAGATTTTTTTAGCACAACATGAAATTTAATTCAAATCCGACCCTTTGACACAAATTGACAAGTCTAATAACTTATAATCTTCTCTTTTTTTTTTAGTCGGTAAGATTAAGGGCCCAACCGGCCCGAAACTCCTTATAGGTGAACCTAGTCCGAGTTAGTAAATTAGACCATTTGGAAGAGTGGGGGAAGGTCCTTAAATAGTCACTACTCACTAGTGACTAGCACTGTCAAAAACCGAACCGAACTGGTGAAACCGAACCGTTTCAACCGATCTGAATGAGAACCGAACCGATTAAAAACCGATTTTATGAAACCGAAAATCGACCCGAACCGCATGTTAGTAAAACCGAAACCGAACCGATCCGAGTAAACGTTAAACCGTTTAAGAACCGAACCAAATCTAAACCGAACCGTTTCTAACCCGAAACCGTTTAAACTGGCATAAAAACTGTTTACACCGAACCGTTAACAAACTGCAACCCGTTTGCACCGAACCGTTTATAAACCGAACTGATTATAAACCAAACCGCTTATAAACCGAACCGTGTATGAACCGAATCGCTTATAATTCGAACCGTTTACAAACCACTTCCTACTAGGAGTATTTTGAACGACTCGATAAAAATCCGATTTTTTTAAATAAAAAAAGACCCGAACCGTAATTTAGTAAACCTAAAATAAAACTGATCCAAATAATGTTAAATCGTAGAAGAACCGAACTCGTTAACAAACCAAACCAGTTATAAATCGAACTAAAATAAAACTGAACTAAAAAAGAACCGAACTGTTTCTAACCGGGAGAAAAACCATTAACAAACCGCAACCCGTCTGCACCGAACCGTTTACTACCCGAACCGTTTACAACCCGAACCGAATTTAAACCGGGATAAAAACCGTTTACATCGAACTGTTAACAAGCCCAACCCGTTTGCACCGAACCGTTTACTACCCGAACCGAATTTAAACCGTTCAAGAATAAACCAAAACCGAATCGAACCGATAATTATTTAAACCGAACTGAAACCGACCCGTAAGACATTTGAACCGATTTCAAACCGACCCGATTTCAAACCGAACCGAAACCGAACTGTCAAACCGTTTTGACAGTACTACTAGTGACGATTAAACGTCTAACCTCGTGGTTGAAATGTACTCTCCTTTTTACTAAATTAAGCTCAGCTTGATAACTTGTGATTTTATGAAGCATAAAATATATAAAAATTCTAAACCCAGAATTGCCCCAAACGGCCAAACCCTTTTAAACTCAACCCAAGATCAAATTGTACAATGAACTTTCTAGACCAAGTAAAACAAGGTACAAACAACCAGGCATCCATCCAGCGCGTAATTAGCTGCGGTGCATATAAAGTGTGAGGCCAATTAGGTAGGACCCATCACCGTCTATAAAAACAAGAAGTGCTGGTCCACTCCAATCCAATAACCTAACCATTCAATAAAATAATTTGAGTTACAACTTCAAAACTCTTACAAAAACAACACAATTCACAACATAAACATAAATCCTTATTTTTGCTATTATACCCTTTCCTTAACTCTCTTCTCCTCTCATTTTAGTCAACTTTACCCACTTTACACCTACATACGCTCCTCTCTCTCATTTTCTCAAAAGAAGAAGAATGACGGACAAAAAGGTGAATCCGATTGGCAACGCATTGGGTCTGCTCCGTATTCGGGTTAAACGTGGTATTAATCTCGCTGTTCGTGATGTTAGCAGCAGTGATCCTTATGTTTTCGTTCGTCTTGGTAAACAGGTTCGTACCCGTTATTTTATTTGCCTGGTATCGTGACAACTGATTTTGCCATAGCTAGCGCATTTGTGTATTTGTGATATAGTAGTGTCAATAGTGATATCAGTGTTGGGGTCGACTTTTTATGGGTATAAAATTACTTTTTGGTCTTGAAAATGCTTCTTTTGATTCTACATTTTACAATTTTGTCTAGTTGAGAAATTAAATTTTGTCATTTGTGTTAATTTTAATGTTAATTCGTATTTGTTTCTCTGATTAATGGGTTATATTCCATGGAATCATGAATCCCTAAAAAAAAAATTTTAAAAAAAAAGAAGAAAGCTACGTTGACTGAAAGATACAAGTATTAAAGAAAGTAACGGAAGTCACTTTGAATTCTACTTTAATTATCTACTGTCAGGCTATCTTCAATCAGACCAATAATTAATCATAAATTGATTAATTTTATTTAGGGAAAGCGGATGTTACGGTAACTGACTCATTAATGAATTACCTAACATTTTTTGTCTTAATTAAAGTCTTCTTAATTTTTGTGGAATTGTTAATTAAAATGCATTTCCTACTCGAAAATAAATTACTGTGGAGTATATTTTATTTTAAACCTTTATTACTTCCGTTCCTCATGTACTCACGTATTGGAAAAATTCAAGTTTATCTCTATGATAAACTTGAAAATATATCTCCTCTCACAATATATTGTTTTATGTTTATTTTCAAAATAATAAAAGTGAAATAATAAAGTGGCACAGAAATCAATGCGAGAAATTGTAAAGGAAAATATTAATTTCAGAGATTAAATGGGGCTCCATCGTCCGTATTCATGTGTATTTTAAATATGAATATTCAAAATTCAATTGACAAATACATTACTTTCATTAGTTTTGAAAAATAAAAACATTGTACAAGTACATATCCGCGTTCAACATAATTACGAGTACATTTCTCAGAAGAAAATTAAACATTGATATAAAGACGAGTCTAACATAATGATGAGGGTGTGAACACATTGGTTTTTTTTTCAAGTACCATTAATATTATTTTTTTACCAAAATTCTTTTTCATTTGCAAAAATAATTGTGTAAATTTAACTTTCTCATGTACTTTAATTACTTTCTCTCTCTACTTTTTTCATATCAAATATAATTTTTTTTTTAATGTACTTTGCTACTTCTTATTTATGTTTATTAATTCCAATCATTTTCTACCAAAAGTGACAATCAAAAGGAGACGAGTAAACTTTACGATATATACTTCCTCCGTTCTATTAATATTGCAATAACGGATTTTTTGCTCTATTCATCATTTTTTTTTACCATATAATATGATTTATACGTTAAACAAATATAGTCAAGTGAGATCTTGTTGGATTCGTCTCATAAACTTTTTATAATTTTTACTTTTACACAATTATAGATACTTAGCATATTAAATGTGTTCTGAGATGCGTAATTTTATCATTTTGCAATATTAATAGAATGGAGGAAGTATGAAGTAACCGAGAAAGTATACAATTCTACTTTAACCTTCTAAAACTTTTTCTTTGAAAAGTTTGGTCTTACTAGAATAAAAGACTTTTCCTCTTCCAACCCTGAGCCTGAGGTCATTGAAATTTGAAAGTGGTTAATGACATAAGCTGTTGAAATTTCACATGAATATGTGTACATAGTAAAAGTAACCTTAGAGTCCTTAATTTGAATTAATCAACATCTAGACACGATAAGATTTGATTCAACATGGATTACCTCATTCTAATTAATTTGAATGACTCGTAACCTAAATATGACATGAATTAAAATAACTCAAAGTCAAATTCAATACAAACCGCCTGATTAAGCATGATGAATTTAAAAAAATTGTTCATCTACGTTGCGTACACGTTCCTCTAGTCCTCTTTTATCATGTCATTTCTACTTGTAACATGGTTGTCATTGAATGCGATGGTTAAGCGCCTTTACCAGCTCAAAAACATTGAATTTATAATGTTAGGACAAAAAAACAAGTATACCATGCCATGTGAAGTGAGTAAACCAAGTCAGTAAAGAATTTTGATAAACGCCTTATTTTGACTGAAGTGTCAATAGTGACAAAATCTCGATTCTAACTAACTTCAGTAGACTAGTCTATAAAAATATTAACACAATTTCAGTCCCATCTTAGTTGCTTAACTGTCTGGACAATTAGGCAAATAGACGTTTGTAAATTGAACTATAGCACCAATAAACTAAAGTGATACTAGTAATGGTTTTGAGCATGGTTTTATATCTTGGTTCAACATTAAGTATTAACCCTTGTGTTTTATTTAATTTTCATGGCAGAAACTCAAGACTCGTATTATTAGGAAGTCTCTTAATCCGGAGTGGAATGAAGATTTAACTCTCTGTGTTACAGACCCGAATGAATCAATTAAAATTGTAAGTATTCTAAACTCAAATCTATATGCTACCTCATCATAATTGTTTCATATTCATTATAATTGTTTCATATGTATACGTTACATTTCTCGACATGTAATTTTTTTAAAACGAAGGAACTCATCAAAATTAATAGTGATTCATACTTTTTTTTTTTTTTTTTATATATGTACTTTATGTCAATCTTGAATTCATTTTCTAGAGTTCTGGTTTATTCTACACAAAACCTTAATCCAAATTTTAGCTGGTGCTGATCATATAGTATATAATCCTGTTTAAGGAAACACATCATGTGAAGTCTCAACTACGTAAACACCTTTCTTAGCTTATGCTTAATTTGTTTTGTACAATTAGGACCCAAGCTTTTTTTTCTTTTGTCGTTTAATACCTACCTTATTTCCACAAATAGATGATTTGATGACAGCTTTTGCCCTTTGTTGTATGTCACCAAGAAAGAAACTTGTAGATATAAGTAGTAGTAATTCTCTGAATTTAATGTAAACAAAGTAGAAAGTTCTTTTTGCGCTGTAGAACAACTAAAGATAAGAATGATGTTTACGGGATTTGATATGAAATTCTTATTACTCTTGGAGTACAAGATAAAAAGCTAGATCATTCAAGTGGTCAAATAAAATAAAATGACAACCCGAGATTTTCGAGGATGATTCTGTACTACAGTTTGGTGGAAGGACTTTAAGACACCCTTGGAAGAATGCACAGGGTGATGGTTACAGTTTGAAACGGATGGAATACGTTGAAAAATAACCAAAGAATTATTCATTAAGCTTTTGCACCTAATCTAATGTGACTAACTCATGTTCTTTTTCGTGTTGTTGCAGTTTGTTTATGATCATGACACATTTTCCCTGGATGACAAAATGGGAGACGCAGAGTTCGATATCAGTCCAGTTTTAGAGGCAGTAAAGTTGAATCTCGAAGGTGTTCCAGACGGAACTGTCATCAAAAAGGTGAGGCCAGACAGGCAGAACTGCATTGCAGAGGAGAGCTCCATTGTCTGGAAAGATGGCAAAGTTACTCAAAACATGTTCCTAAGACTTCGGAATGTCGAATGTGGTGAAATTGAGCTCCAGTTGCATTGGATTGATCTTCCTAGTACTCAATCTCTGTAATTCCCGTAATCTGATCTAGTCCCGGTGGTCTTTTTGTATATATAAAGTACAATGCCTAAGCATGTTGGATAATTAAATCTCGTGTATGAGAATGTTCTGAATCTATTTCTAGCTGATTAAGTTTTGTATGTAAGAATTTGAAATTATGTGATAAGTTATAAAAATAAACAATTAGTGAATTTTGATGTTGAGATGTTGAAACCTCTCAAGTCTCAACTAATATTTAGTCTCATATACCATCATTTTTGACATTATGTTGGCTTTTGGTTAATTTTGGTGCGCATGCATGTTTTATACTTTTATACGATGGCAAAGTGGAAGGCATGTTGGTGACCTATTAAAAAAAGTTGAGGTGACGTTATTGAGTTTTATTCATGCTGTTTCAACGAATAAGTTATTTGGTTAGTTGTCTTTTATTATTTGGAACGAGTGTGATTTTTGTTTGGATAAGAATAATGAAGGAAAGAGACAATGAAGGAAAAAGAGGGAAAGGAAAGGGAGGGGAGGGGAGGGGAAAGGGAGGGAGAAGGTGACATTATATTTTTCTTACAAATCTCTTTAGGGGGCGTTTGGTTTGTCAAGTGGTATATGTTTGAAATTAAGAATGAAGTTAAGATGGTATCGGGTTGGAAGTTGAAATTTCCTCCTTTATCTAATACCTAAGGGAATGGAATGAGTCAAACCCACTTGCCCCCCCCCCCCAGTGTTTCTAAACCCTATACGGTCATACCTCATGGGTTTGAGGTATGAGTTTAAAATTTATACTTTTGACAAACAAACATATGGTATGAGTTTTAGTCATTCTAAACTCATACCTCATACTTATATTTCGCGAATTAATCTCAAGGAACTCTCATGTAAGAAATCATAATAGAGTATATTCACAGATGTTGGGATTTAACTATCAGTTTAACCTTTTGGTTGAGTTGGTCTTTTTAAATTTTAATAGGAAGAATTTGGTTATATAAACGAAAGTGGATCCTTTCAATTCCCTCCCCTTCCCTCCTTGCATTAGATATCTAAACAAAGGATTACGCATCCCTTCTTTTCTCTTCTCTACCTTTTCCTTTATTTATCTCGATTCAAGCATAGTGTTATGGTGTGCTTGGATAAAGAAAGGAGAAGGAAAAGAAGGGGTGGTAGGGGAGGGGAGGAGTGGAAGGAAAGGGAAAGGGAGGTGGGGAAAATGATGAGTTTTCTCTTTCAATTCTGTCCATTATTGAAAATGTCAAATTGTTACGGAGTACTATTTAATCCTTTTATTTATCTCCTTTTTAATTATCTTCCTTTCTCATTTGTTATTCAAATGAAACATGGTACACCCTCTCTATTTTCCTTCCTTCCTTTCCCTCCATCTCCTTTAATTCAAACACAATGTTAGTTTTTGACAAGAATTATGTATCATGATTTTTTTTTTTTTTTTTTTTTTTTTTTTTTTTTTTTTTTTTTTGTTTTAATGAAGTACAGTTGATTGTTAGCTGATTGTTGAACATTTCCCTCCTTTGTACAGAAAGAGCCCATTTATAGTAATATGAGTTACCTATTTTAATTATAAGTCCATAAGGCCACATCTATACGACCATATAGGCTTATGCATATTTGGGCCTGAAGTTCGTTTGTCAGGTCTTAATGAGACCAAAAGCAAGTAAGGAGTTGACTTATGTTAGAATTCTTAGAAAGTGTTGCAACAAATATCCCACCCACATACAGAATGAAGGCAGAGAGTGAAAATCTGAGTTCTTCATGGTGCAGTTCAGTTTCAGTCTAGCCATCCGAACCACAACCGAACGTACTTCGATGGACGCCGAAATTCAACACATTCTTGCCTTCCCAACCTACACATTCAATGGTTGGATTGTCGTTTCGTGCTTTGGAAGTCAATATCTTGTGGTTTTTTTTCTTGGGTTTGAGGTTTCCACGTATATTCTCATATGCTTTATATATGTGTTATGTGGATTGTTTAGATTTTGTTGTTTGTTGTCTATGTAATGTTTGCTTAAAATTGTTTATGTTTGTCCATTTTAGAACATATTAGAGAAAATGCTACCGATGAGTTTCCGCTTTTGATAGTGTATCTTAGGTACATTTTTCCAATAAAGATTATGACCGTAAAGTAATCAAAATCCTCCCACAACATCACAACACACCTAGCTACATGAAATTATATTAAACAAAATATACTCAATTTAACATTTTACACAAACAAGCCTAAAAAGTCATCACAATCAACAATTTAAAAACGAGTCAATAATGATTAATGAGTTACCACAATCTACAATTAATGGGTTGGTGAAGTTGAATTAGAGGTGAACACTAGTTCCCCTTAACCCATGTTCAATGGTTGTATTTTTTTTTTTCCCTTTAAGGAGTTTTATTGTAGGCTCCGTACCCGTCGGGCATACCTGTGAATCGAATATGCATGGCAATTGTATTGACATTATATCAGATGGGACAAAGGACAAAATAATGAGCATCATTCATGGATCATTAACGAAAGGGTCAAAAAGACAACCACAATATAAATCCGAACATTCCGAAGGCAACAACGATTTGCTAAATGAGGATTATCACCCCATTCACAATCCATGAGATTGTTAACTCCATATGGTCTTGTAACACAATAGGAATTTGGAAATTATGGTACCAAATTGAGTCAAGAAGTCAAATCCGCCCATATCGGCCTTTACTTTAATCTTATTCCGACATGTATGTATTATTTGCAATCAAAAAGACATGCAAATAAAGATTCAATTCTTCCAAACTACAATATGTTAAGTCGATTATTAAATATTAATGTACACGAAACATTGTTAAATATTGATCACTTGATTAAACAATATAATAAGATTATTAACGGATTCTTAAACCAGTTGTCCACATATATTATCTTATTAATCATAGTATTCAAATACATAACTTAATTAATATTCAATATGGTGATCATATAATTAATGCAATAATGTATAGCAAATAACATTGAATTGGAAGCAACTAAGCATGCAAAAATATAAGAAATCAAAGTATTATTATTAATATAGGTATATAAAATAATTAATCTACAAGAACATATTTAAATATCATATTTTGAATGCGCACTTTAAATACTACAACATGAATAGATTGTTAGTCAACTCTAAAAATATAGTAAATCGAAAGATTTAAATTAAACTAAAAAAAGAAAATTGAATTCTTCCCCCAATATTGTATCTTTCATGCCTTGTCTTAAGGTAAAACTTCAAGTTTTGTTTTAGACTTTAGAATCACTTGAATTGTGATTGAAATTGAATTAGGGAAATTGAAATAGAACAGCAGGTTATCACATCTAGATGGGTTCCTTGGAGGTTGATGTTGAATTTGATGGCTTGAATAAAAGAGTTATTTAAAATTTAACAAGGCGAACAAGATTGAAAAAAAATAATAAAGCTGAGTAATTTGTGTAACATGCAGGCAGATTCATGTGTCACGCGTGTTGCATTTTTCATTCGAATTTAAAATCATCATAACATTTTACCCCCGAAGTTGAATTGGAATAAGGCATATAATACATCGTTGAAATGATTCACAAATGTTATTTTTAAATCGATTGGAATCAAAATAAGATGTATTGTAATAAGCTATAACCGAAAATAGTGTAATGGTGTTGACTTTGGGCTCGATTTAGCATTTTTCTCATAATATCCTTCATGCTTATTATGATGTATCATTGGAAAGATGATTTTTAGAGCTATCCATCCATATAAGTTTCATATAAAAAGTCTGAGGTTTGGAAATCAGGTTAATTTGGTTTCAAGGTAAGGTTTATGGATTTTGGGGTCAACAAATTATAGGGGTTTAGGCTTAATTAATAGGCTTAAATGATTTTAAAATAGGCTGGTGGGTTAGAATAAAATGGCCTGGGTTAGAACAAGAGTTTATTCAAGCAAACTCTAGGTTCATTAAGCAACCTAAACCAAATTAGACGAGTGATATACATTTTCGTATTAGGCTTTATTTAGGGAGATAAATTTTGGTGTCTACGGATATACATTTTTAGACGCCTACAAAAGTCTCCCTGGCCAAAGCCTAATAATGAATGACCTTTCGCCACGCGTATTGGATCGAAGGAACGCTTAATTCTTGCGGCTTAGAATTCCAAGCCATTTCAATTTCCAATTTCTATCATTTTTAAGCCATTCTATCCTTCTTCATATCTCAAACACTTTTTCTAGTCAAAAATACACCTTAACCCAATTTCCTCTTTTCATAACCACAGCTCAAAACTTAGCAAAATTATACAAATCTTAAATGGTTAGATATCTATTGAAATCTTAATTATATGGTTAGATTTTGAGTAGAAGTCAAAAAACAAAGAAATATTAGCTAAAGCAGTCTTCAATAGATTAATTCTAATAGTATAGAGAGGCTTTAATTTGAGAGTTAGATCATAAAGCTCCGTAAGGATCTAATCTTTTTGTTTTTAAATACTTGTAACTATCTGGCCATGCACAAATTTGTTCATATATTCTTTCATTATGCATGTAATAATTATGAAAAAATTAATACTTGAAGATATCACCATGATATTCCAATGCAAATTGTAGTTATATAAAGTAAAAATAAAATAAAATAAAAAGGCAAAATTGGCCTCAATAGCACCAACTAACTATAGGTTGGGTCGGTGCAGAAAATGTCATAAATGATATATTATGGGGGGTGGCTCTCGCTCATGAGAATTTTTCTTATGTGAGAACACTTTTTATGTTCTAAATTTTTACTCGTATGTTCTAAATTTTGAATCTGATGTCCTAAACTTTTCTTTAGGTTTTTTAAATTAAATCAGATGTTCTAAATTAGTACTCACATGTTCTTAACCATAAATTAGTTAAGTTAGATATTATAAATTTCGAATGACTTATTCCGAAATTTTAACTTATATGTTCTAAATTTTAAAACGTGTCTGTGTTCTAAGATTTTTAGTTATATGTTCTAAATTCGAAAGCATATGTTCCAATTTTGACTCACATGTTCTATATTTTTATTTATATGTTCAATATTTTTACTCCCATTTTCTATATTTTATACCAAGTGTTCTAATTTTTTTATTCATACGTTCTAAATTTTAAATCAGATATTCTAGATTTTAAATCAGATATTCTAGATTTTAATCATATGTTCTAAATTTCATAAAAATAAATTTTTTTAATTTTTACTCTCATGTTCTAATTCTTGAATCAGATGTTCTAAGTTATTGCTCACACACATGCTCAAATTATTAGTCATATGTTCTAAATTTAAATTTGAGTCGCATGTTCTAAATTTTTACTCACATGTTCTAAATTATAGATCAGTTCTCATATATATATGAATTCTCACATATGAACCTATTCTCACCGGATCCCTTATATATATATATATATATATATATATATATATATATATATATATATATATATATATATATATATATATATATATATATGAGGGGTACCCAGTTAATTCCCCAGATAAACAATTTTGTTTATCTGGGGGTATAATCGTCTTTTCAAGTGCCAGTTAAGGGGTACATAACCAATTTTAAAAATATAGAGCACGTCTTTTCGATGTCTTTTATGGTATTTTTTGCATCAAACTTAATAGTTGGTGATGATGACCAGTGCACGATCAAGGGTTGTGCCATTCTTTGCACCCAACCTATAGTTGATGCTATTGAGGTCAATTTTTCCAAAAAAAAAAAAAATAATAATAAACTTGGTATTATAAAAATATATATTGAATCAAATCTAACCGTCCAAATGAAAAAAAAAATTCATGATAAATCACAATGTGGTTAAAGAGAATTATGTGAATAGTGTTAGATTTACAAATGGTGCAATACTTGTAAGACAAAAGGAAATTCGATACGGAGTATTAGTTAAATTGTCGTAACTCGTAAGTATTTAAATAATGAGGAGCGGGGCGGAGCCCGGAGGAGGGCATTTGATGGGCATTAATCTGAAGTTCCAAATATGATGACTCTCTCCGTAATATGTAGTAAGTACACCCAAGATCTAAGAATTTGAGGTTCATCAAATATTAGCATTCTATAAATCTATATGCATTAAAACTAATATCAAGTCGTCAAATTGTTAACTAACGTCCAACAGAATGACAACAAACTTGATAACACCAAATTGACAACAATTAATAAGTAGCCTTTGGACCTTAGAGACATGGAAATCCCAAATTAACCAATATAACCCCTTTAAACCTATTACTCCATCCCCAGCTTATCACTTAAGACCACTAACAAATTATAAATTAACACCAACCTTCCCAAATTAGCTTAATTTATAATTTGAAATAACAATACTATTAAATCATATTATTTTCATTAGTAAATCATACTCTATCCCTGTTCCTATTAGTAAGAACTAACAAACAAACAAAAAAAAAACATAATTGTGTGTAATTTTATATGTTTTCAAAAACGATCTTGTTAACGAACACCTCCGGACATTACATAAGCACTAAAAAAAATACTTTCTAAAGTAGTACAAGTATTAATTTGAAAATGCATGTTTAAATCACACGCCGATCGGCCAGGTGTAATTAATGTTCATTTTGATTTAGAATTTCTACTTTTAGTTATCTTATTCAACGTCCCGAGAGAGTTCGTTAGCTTCTGCCTTTAAAAAATATACAATAAAGATATTATAGTCACATAAGTTTTCAGAAAATCGTGATATAAAATGGTACAAAGAACGGCTGAAATATACAAAGTACTCCGTAAATTTTTGAAATTAAAAACTCCAAGTGTCACCTTGTTCACATTATGCTTACTAACAACCCCATAAAAATCCTCCCTTTTATAAACCTCTATATTCCTTACCATAACCAGAAAAACCTGCCCTCTTCATCTGATCTTCACCTTTTTTCCTCAAATCTTAACCTCCATTGATTTCTTCCTTGAAATACACATCTTTACTTCTCACACAAACACTTCCCCTTAATCAAAATTTCCCCAAAAAGCTCTCAAAAACCGAACAAAGGCGAAAGCAAAGAACAATTCCAACCACAACTTGAATGGTAAAGTCCATAAGCAACACCGTTTTTTTCATGCCTTCTTTCCCTTCCTCAAACTCCTCATTATTTGCGTGCTCTACGCAACTGGCTCAAGCCATCCACTCTTTCGTCGTATTCTTATTCCTTTCCTCTGCTTTCGGGACCTGTAAACAAGCCTGGTACTACCGTTGCCTCGGCCTTGACCCTTAAACTAATAATCATATCACCCCTGCATACACAATATTTTTTAACGATTCTGAACCCACACTTCTGAATTCCTGGATCGGATACGCCACTGATCCTACATAACCCATTAACCCTACTGTCCTTTACAATTTCCCAACAACGAACAAAAAAAAAACTAAACTCATAAGATGTTCAGCTCAAATAACAGCCAGAAGTACAAGAGTTGTACAAAGAAAGGCGGTAACTGTTTCGAGTGTCACAAGGATAGCAGGTTCGACAACAAGCGATTCTTGATCATTGTTAATGTGTTAGGAAGTGCCGGACCGTTGAGGTTTCTAGTCAATGAAGAAGATCTTGTTAGTGGAGTTATTGAATCTGCTTTGAAATTGTATGCTAAAGAAGGTCGTCTCCCTGCTTTGGGTTCTGACAATTCTAAATTTCTCCTCTATTGCGCCAATTTTGGATCTGATGGTAAGTTCGATCAAACTCATCTGCTATTTTCTTAGTTTTATACAGTGTATCGGTAATTAATTATAGTACTTGTGTTAATTAATTAGCACTTAATAAATCATGTTGGTAGTACCGTATAATTTTGTGTCTTCTATAAGACGTCTTTTTAGATAAGACCACTATTATATCAACTTGAGATTACCGCACTTTTGGTAACTATTTATCATTTTATCTAAGGATAAAATGTTAACTAATGTGAAGTAATTTTTTTTTTTTTTTTTTTTGAAGGATGTGAAGGAAAATATCAGTTTCATCTTGTTTTGTTGTATTTGATTTTTGTGCTGAGTTGTACCATGTATGCGTTTGTTTTATTTTTACGATCTCTATTACAACATTTTGCTGGTCGCACGTGTAACTAGCTGACACATGCTAAAACATTGGTCGAGTAATCCCTGACTAACCCCTGATCGGATAATCCTTAACCGACTGAGTAACCCTCAACAAACTTAGTAACTTCTGAACAAGTAACACCGATCACACAATATGGTGCCATAGATGAAATTTTGCATTATCCATATTTTCATGCAAAAATAATTATATCGTCCATCTAAATATTAAAAATGTCCTTTTATTGTATTTATTCTTCTCTATTGATAAATCAATTATTATTGCTCACATAAATTACTAGATGCCTTTTACATAAATTAAGAAATCAATAATAATTGTTGCATATGTTTTCGAAAATTTTACAGATATATAGACGTATAGTACACATTTGACCAAAGTTCCATTGTTTAAGATCAATGAAATAAAGCAAGTTTAGCTTTATTTACAAAGAGTGATACATAAATTTTGCAAGTTTAGCTTTATTTACCTCAAGTTTTAGTTGCTGCCTTCTCTTTAGACTTATTTCGCAATCACATAAATTTTCATTGTAAATATTATGTGATGACTTATGTAAATATTAAGGCTTTAACCTTTTAATATAATATATCTTTTCTTTGTGTTAAAAAAAAAAAAAAAAAAAAAAAAAAAAGAAAGTGATACATATGGCATGCTCCTCGCATAAATTACTTCTTACCGTTAGTGTGTCAATCTCATAGACAAAGAATACAAATTGTTACAAGTATTTTAGGTAGCTTATGACTTTTATTTTACTAGTATATTAAATTTATATGCACCTTACGCATATGTATAAATCTTATACAAAATATACAGAATAAAAACAATTTATTAGAATGTTACGTAAGTCATAACATATTAGAATTGAAAATTATTAAAATATAAGAGCTAAATATAAATAAAAAGTGTTAAAAGTGTTAAAAGTGTTTTAGGTAGAATCAAACCACTCGAAAGTTAGCTTTTGAATTAGAGGTTTTTATTCTCTATTATAATGTCTAATTATATGTTATCGAATTTGTCGAATAATGTAACAGCATTGAGCCCATGGGACGAGGTAGGTTCGTGTGGAGCAAGGAACTTTGTGTTATGCAAGAAGCCAGAGCAACAACCAAATATGACCGAGGCAAGATCTCATATCATTTCTAGAAAGGGATCTGGGAATTGGAAAGCTTGGCTCAACAAATCCTTGACCTTCAAAATATCATCTCATTGATTGAAGATGGGTGAATGTGTAATCGTATGTATACATTGAACTATTATTGTAACACATAATAATATAGACCAGATTTATATGATTAATAAGAAAGTGTTTTGAGGTACAATGAATGTGTAATCGTATATTTGTATGTATCCATATATATTATGGTACAAAAAGGTTTGTATGAGTATCTACTTGTAATTTTAATAAGGTGAGATGATTCTATATAATAAATAATAAGTGTGTGATTGAATTATATATGCTATAACATTTCTTCTTCCTTTTCTCTTTATCTTGTGTTAAAATTATGTAGTTTTTTCAATTAACGCACATCAACTTTTCCAATATCTGAGGTTATTAAAATTTATGTTAGTAGTAAATTGAATTTAAATATTTCTTAACAACCTTTATTACGAGTAAAACTAATCTAAACTTATATTTTTTTTCTTAAACTTATTGTTTCAAACACACTATGGCCTTGTTCTTTTGAGCTTCTGGGCAGAGCAGAGCATATTTCAGCAGAGCATAGCAGAGCCGAGCCGAGCCGAGCAGAGCAGATTTCATTATTATTATTATTATTATTATTATTATTATTATTATTATTATAATTATTGTTATTATTATTATTATTATTATTATTATTATTATTACTATTATTATTATTATTACTATTATTATTACTATTATTATTATTATTATATCCTAAAAACATACAAAATTATACAACCTATAGAAAATTAGTGAGAAGCCGAGATACAATCTGGGCCCCCACTCCTCTAGCTATAGAAAAGCCGATCCTAGTAAAGATATGAGTTGCAGCACGCGCCCCAATGTCCTGAGTCTTCGAGAACCTCGGGATCCGCTTCAGCAATGCAACAGCTTCCTTTTCTAACTCCCCAAGAGAAGAGAAAGAGAAAGGAAGAAAGCCATATCCAACCGCACGACAACTGGATTCGTACTTGACCCGCTTCCGATTGGCCGCATCAGTCACCACCCGTCCAGGAACAAAGTCAGATAGTCCAGACTGTGTCAATGGAGAAGACCCTGTCAAGTCAAAACAGACATCGCGACCACGATCCCATGAGTAAAGTAACACATCTGCAGGTCTGAGAGCTTCATCGTTCCCTCCAGACAACCCAATGTCCACCTCTTTTCTAGCTGAAATCCTTGACCGATAGCAAACATCAACAAGGGTATCCCGAACAACAATATGCCGGTGTTTAATGCCCACAATACCAGCACAAGACACCGTGTGATCACCGAAATACTATTATTATTATTAGTACTACTACTACTAATATTATCTCATTATTATTATAATCATTAAATTTTTTAAGTAAAATATTAGTTATTATTATTATTATATTAATTATAATAATTATTATTATTAAAAATTAATAATTAAAACTATCTTTAAATATTAGTTATTACCTTAATTAATATTAATTGTTATTATAAAAATCAATTATTGTTATTATAATTAATATTATTAGTTATAAGTATTATTATTACTATTATTATTAAATATTAATTATTATTATTAATATTATTATTATTAATTATTAATAATTTATTATTATTATTAAATATTAATAATTAATTATTATTATTATTATTATTATTATTTCTATTAAATATCAATAATTAATTATTGTTTTTATTATTATTAAGTATTAATTATTATTATTATTAAATATTAATTATCAATTATTATTCTTATTAAATATTATTTTTTTATTATTATTCTTATTAAATATTAATTATTATAATAATAATAATAATTCAATATTAAGTATTAATTTTAAGTAGAGCAGAGCAGAGCAGATTGAAGCAGAGAAGAGCAAAGCAGAGAAGAGCAGAGTAGAGCAAAGCAAAGCATCTCTAAAGAACGGGGCCTAACTCTTATCTAAACTATTTTTTTGAAATAATTGAAAGTAAATTATGTAAATAGAACAAAACATTAATGTCTAGCAACGCTAAAATTGAAATGTTTTCGGCTAAAATAATTAGGTAATTGATTATAAAACAAGATAAGCTCATTTTCCTCTTTCCTTTTTACCTCTTTGTTACTTTTCTCTCTCTCTCTCATTAATCCTCACAATTCTTCTTCTAATTTAAATTTCTATACTCCCCTTGATTTGGGTATTTTTATACCCGGCCAAGTGGCCCAATCAAAAGCCGCCACGTGTCATAGGTAAAGGTGCCACCTGAACCGTTGAGATGATGACACGTGGTAGGCAGCCATCCCACCATTCTGGGATGATTGATGATCCAGCATGGACCATCAAGAGGGCAACACGTGTCACCCTAAGAGATGCTCAAAAGCCCTTTGGGCTCAGTGACACGTGTCACTCAGGCATTGCTTCTGGAATGGCGGCCTTCAAGGGCCCAAACCTTGAGGCGTCGTTTTGCGGCGTGACCTAATTCTTAGGTCACCAGATCCTAGGGAGGGCACACTTTTCCATGAGACCCTATAAATAGGGAAAATTCTCTCATTTATGAGAAGGAATATACGCAATACGAGACAACATGTCTCTTTCACATTTATTACACAGCTGTCGTTTTCAAGGAACAGACAGCACTTTACCTGAGCTTGGAATCCGAGCAGATAACTTTATTTCCGCACGTTTTACCCCGAATACTTACTAACTTAATCTTCGGCGGAGGACCACCGACTATCTGGCGGTCCGTTTGCTTTGCAGGTACAGGCGTCCTTTGCTGAATCCAGTCTCAGTGTTGTAACTCTCCCAAGGGACAAAAACCCCCGAAACATTTGGCGCCGTCTGTGGGGAGAGTACCTCTGAAATGGCTTCACAAGTCCCTGTACCGAATCTTGAGGCCAATCGGCCTCCAGAAGACATAGTGGTCCAGACGGACCATGACTTAGGGGACGACGCTGACGTCGAAACCTATGTGGATCCTAACGGGTCCCTCATCTCAAAACGCATCTGCAGTAGGGAAAAGCGGGAGCGTCACACTGATCAGGCGGGGCCAAGCAAAACTGCTGGTCAGCCAAAAAAGACCTCGGTGCGGACTGGTGATCCGTCCCAGGCGGCAGGATCGACTCCCATCACTCGAGATGAACTCACGAAACTCCTGAGCAGTCTCAGGGGTGAAATCAAACAACTCGCCTCCAAGAAGTCGCCTACTCCTAGAAAGGAGCAGTCGGCCAAGAAGCCGGCCCAAGCTGGCAAACAGAAGTCGGTCAGGGATCGACAGCCGACTCCTCATCCTGCCCCTACGGAGAAGGCTCGACCCCAATTTGACCTCACCAGGCTCCGTTTACCAGAAACGGGCACAAGAAAAGCCATCCGGCACATACAGTCGGATGGTAGCAAGAAAACATTCTCTGATGCTCGACAATACATTGAGCAGAAGAAGACCCATCTATCAGAGTCGGCTTCAACGTCGACCTACCATGATAGCTTTCGAAATACCTCTGTGAGGCATTCCCAGTCTGTACATGAGACCCCAGCAAGCAGCCCACGGGTTCAGTCTGGCCCTCATACGATCCATTCGGCCTAGTACATGGCTCCGCCATTGTACCAGTTGCCGGATTTTCCTTACATACAGCCTGCCCTCTTTGGAGGACAGGCGGCATACGGCTATCAGCCGATGGACTGACAGCTCAGGCTGCAACACTTTGGAGATCAACCCTCTGCCTTCTCCAGGGAAATAACTGAAGCCAAGCAGCCGGCCAAGGTTAAAAATGTTCTGGTTGGAACCTATGACGGGACCTCCAACCGAGAAGACCACCTGCTAGCTTACACCCACCTCATGTATTTATAGGGGTTGGATGATGCCGCATGGTGTCGCTGCTTTCCAACCACCCTGAAGGGCATAGCCCAACAGTGGTTCGGCAATCTTCCAGCTGGTTGTATTAATAGCTTCAAGACGCTTGCGTTCATGTTCGCTTCAAACTTCTCTATGAACATCCCTGCCAAAAAGACAAGCCTTGATTTGGGCAATGTACAACAGGGAGATAGAGAAGGCCTGCGTTCCTATGTCAGGCAGTTCAATCTGGTACGAATCCAGATTCATGGGTTGTCTGATGAGGTCGCCTTCACAGACTTCTTTAAGGGTCTGAAGGACGGGTCTACTTTTAAGTATGAACTCGTCCGCAAACAAATTTTTACCCTGCAAGGAGCCTTACGAGAGGCGGAAGCCTATATACAGGCGACCGAACTCTACTCCTCCAATAAGCAGTCGGACCCTAAGAAGTCCGACCGATAGAAGGAGAGTCAGCCGGCTCCTAAGCCAGAAGAGGGCAAAAAGAAAAAACAAATCTGAGCCATTGATAACTCTGATCAACCGGCCCAGAAGAAGAAAAAAGAGTGGAAACCGTACGTCCCAAGGTACGAGTTCCACAAGGACTGCTGCTCCATCCTCTTGGAAATTAAGGATCGACTGACTCTTGAGAAGCCGACTCCTATGAAAGGTTCCGCTGAAAATCGGAACAAGAATAAGCATTGCCATTTCCATGAGGATGTCGGTCATGACACGAACGACTGCTTCAGTCTCAAGCGGGAGCTCGACCGACTGGTCGACAAAGGACAGCTGAAGTCCTATGTGAAGTCCAAAGTCACTTCAAAGGCAAATCCGGGGCAGTCCAAGAAAAAGACTCCCCAGCCTACTGTGGGTGCCGAAACTGATGAAGATCCGGTATACACCATAGCAGGCGGATTTGCCGGTGGTGGCCCAACCATTCGAGGCACCAAGGACCATCTGAGAAAGATGGTCAATTCTGTTGAGGAAGGAGAGGCGGCAGGCACATCCGCCTTCCCTAAAGTTGTCATCACCGAGCAGGACAGAGGCAAAGTCCGTCGGCCGCATGATGACCCTGTGGTCATTGAATGCAAGGTGGCCAACCAGCTGGTTGGTCGAATTCTGATTGACACAGGAAGCTCCTCGGACCTCATCAGCGTCAAATGCTTATCCAATCTCAAGTACAAACCGGATAGCATGATAAAGGTCTCCCACAACCTTGTTGGGTTTGGGGGAGGACTTGTGCACCCAGTTGGACGAATTGACTTACCTGTCCGCCTGGGAAGCAGGGGAAACGGTCGGCACTGACCATCCGTTTCCTAGAGGTTGAAGAGCTCGTAGCTTACAACCTCATCTTTG